CGTCCTTCCAAAATGCACCCAACAAGGTTGCTGAGGCAACGGCTGCAGAGGGGCGCCAGGAGGCCATCTTGTCCACTGCCCCTGGCAGGCCCAGTGACCACACCCAAGCTCTTCCAGATTTCCCTAAGCAGCCGCTCGCCCACCTTGCCTGCCTGGGGCCTGCCTCTCTCATCGCTCTCTCCCTTCACACTTTCTTCCTAATCTAACTGCAAGGAACCGAATGGAGTCAGCTTTGTTTCCGTACACCCGGGAACCAATGAGATGATTGCTCCTGATAGGCTGGCTGGATGCAGGGCAAACCCCAGCGCAAGGGTGTCCCAGGCTCTCACCAGGAAAGAAAGCGCAGAGGACAGGGCTGAAGTTCAGATCCTGCCCCCCCCCGCCCCACACAGGCCCTGCCTCCGCAGCGACTGGATAACGCTCAGAACTCCTTTGTTCGAACTCCTTTGTTCCCAGTGAGGCAAGAAACAATAGTCATCCCTCCCCGACTCCTCCCAGCCCGACTGAGCCTAGAGCAGTGATGGCCAACCTATGACACACGTGTTAGAGGTGACATGCGAACTCATTTTTTTGTGTTCATGTCAGCAATCATCTGAAAATATTATAGAAGCATATTCTATATCATCTAGCACTTGGAGTGCGGGTGAATTTCCCGCCAAAATATAAGATGGCTCTGTCTTTTGGTTTTGTTCCATCCACCAAAAGGGTGGATTACAAACAAATATTTGGTAATACGCAGTTACAATCGGCCCGAGTTTACACGTTTCCCGCACTCCACCGCAAATCTATATGAACCGAGTTAAAGACGGCTCCCGCGGAGTACGCGCAATTCACTCGAGCCGACTTAACTCGTTTCCCGCACTCCAAGTGTTAAATGGCATTTAAATATATAAAATAAATATCAAAAATATAAGCCTTTGTTTTACTATGGTTGCAAGTATCAAAAAATTTCTATATGTGACACGGCACCAGAGTTAAGTTAGGGTTTTTCAAAATGCTGACACGCCGAGCTCAAAAGGTTCGCCATCACTGGCCTAGAGTAACTGCAATGTAATTGGGCAGCGTGCGTGCCAGTAGTTACTCTAACAGGAGCACAGAGAAAGAAATTCACTGTGACTCCATCCCCGCCATGGCCCTGAGAATTTGGGGCTTAAGAGACGATGACAGGAGGATGGCTTCCTAAAACCAGGGGAAGAGATCGGGGAAGGAACCGAGTCAGGAAGGACTCAGAATGCTCTTGAATAGACTTCCCAGGCTGGATGCGAAGCTGGGTTTCCGGTAGCTACCAAAGGACACAGACGTTGCCCAAAATAACGTTTTAATGGCCAGAGCAACTAGAATTCCGCTCCAGCAAGGCTGAAGAGAGACACCAAAGGCAACACTGGGAAGCAGAATGGACACAGCTGACTCTGTGCTGTGTGTGTCTCTACGGAAAAACAGGAGAATCGGGATGGTGCTGGAGGGCCCCCTTCTGAGGGCGTGCGTGTGCAGTCTTCTAGCCTGGTGACATGATCCACCTAAGTTTTGAGAAGGGATGGGGGCGGGGGGGAGGGGTCGTTAAATGGCCAGTTGTTAAATGCGGCCATTATTAAAAATTAAATTATAGCCCTAACCGGTTTGGCTCAGTGGATAGAGTGTCGGCCTGCGGACTGAAGGGTCCCATGTTCGATTCCCATCAAGGGCATGTACCTTCGTTGCGGCCACATCCCCAGTAGGGAGTGTGCAGGAGGCAGCTGATGGATGTTTCTCTCTCATCGATGTTTCTAACTCTCTATCCCTCTCCCTTCCTCTCTGTAGAAAGTCAATAAAATATATATTTTTTAAAAATCAAATTATGTAAACTTACAATTAAATCAGTTATATAAAACAAAGGAGATCAGTACTCACAATGTATCACTTCCTAATTCTTTGACTATGGTTCCCTCCTGTCTCACTGCTTGAGGTTATTGACGCCTATGGTATCTGGACGGTGGAAATACTCTACCATGGGTGCTACCGCTCATCCTCCCGACCCCACGCCAGGAACATCACGTTGGAAGCCTGAAGTCAGCCGTGGTGGGAGAACTTACATCACAGAAACGGCAAAAGCTATAAACCAAGGCTTCCCTGCCTCCTGTGCACCCCCACCTGCTCCCAAAGTCGCTGTTAAACGTTTTCCACCACAAGTGTTTCTCTCCAGCTCTAATGAGGAGAAACAGCAAACGACCGAGGGGTCCCTGGAGCAATATCCTAGGAGCAGGATCTTCCCTCGCGGCTCCCAGCAGCGGCGATGCAGTAATAACTGCCATCCAGCCGGGATGGGGACCTCCCTGGCTTCCCTGGTGAGTCACCCTGACAGGAAGCTGTTTCCAGAGTCTCCACAATCTCTCTTACTGCTCATTAGTGAGCTTTTCTTACCAGAGCCTCGCTGTTCTCACCCTTTAAGTGAAGGCTAAGTCTGAGCATGACTCCCTGGTTCCAGGAATGGGGAAGGTGATGTCATTCGACACAGCCTGTACCTACAGCCAGCTGGCTGCCTCCTTCCCTCACCACCCTGCACGAGGCTGAGCAGGAGGCTCCTCAAAGCCATCCGGAGGGCCCTCCCCAGGCCATCCTAGTCAGTCCTCTGTCTTAGGGCACCAGTGTGCCAGGCCCAGTGCCCTGCCAAAGACCTAACCATCTACCAAGTCATCTTCTGGGCACTCATAAGTGTGTGCAAATAGAGGAAGGGATGGATGGTTCCTGCAGGTCTCTGCTCCCCTGCTGTTTAACCCCCTCACCCCCTGTATCCCCACCCCTCCCCAAGAACCTCCCACTTCGCACCGCCACCTCAAGAGCTTTGTCGCTGGCTCCCTCTGTGCCACCACTGCCTCTCTTTTTTCCTCCACAGGTTTGTCAAGGCCGTGCCAGCTATGCTATCACCCTTTTGCAAACACCCAAGCCAACCAGCAGGGCCTCCTCGTTATATATAACTAAGCAGCGCTTCTGTGCTTCCTCAGTTAAGAAATTTGAAGCCCACCCTGCCTGGTTTGGCTCAGGGGATAGAGCATCGGAATGAAGGGTCCTGGGTTCGATTCCTGTCAAGGGCACATGCCTGGGGTTGCAGGCTCAATCCCCAGTAGGGGGCGTGCAGGAGGCAGGCGATCATTGATTCTCTCTCATCACTGATGTTTCTATCTCTCTCTCCCTCTCCCTTCCTCTCTGAAATCAATAAAATATTTATTAAAAAAAAAAAACACCTTGAAACCCAGATATTCTGAGGTCCATCATACCCATACCTCATGTGGCCCCAGGGTAGGAGAAGGAAGAATTAGGAAGCCCAGTTTTGCCTCAAGAGAAAAAGAGGCAAAGAGAGAAGGAAGTGCCAGGGCTCTCAGCAGGCAGGGGGCTGGGCAGAGGCAGGTAGAACTGAATGACTATGAAACACCATGCTCTTCAGAAGACCCTCAATCCCTAGACCAGACACAGGTGCTGTTGTGGGCGTGGTGCAGCCACCTTGTATGGAGTTCAACCACTGTTCCACTAGAGGCGGTGGAATTGGAGGTGTGATGTTGAGGGCTCCCTAAGGGTAGAACTTGGAACAAGGGATAAAAGCTCTACAGGGACCAAAACTGTGCTCAGTAGCCCTAACTGGTTTGGCTCAGTAGATAGAGCGCCAGCCTGCGGACTGAAAGGTCCCAGGTTCGATTCCAGTCAAGGGCATGTACCTTGGTTGCGGGCACATCCCCAGTGGCGGGGCGTGCAGGAGGCAGCTGATCGATATTACTAACTCTCTATCCCTCTCCCTTCCTCTCTGTAAAAAATCAATAAAATATATTTTTTTTAAAAAAACAACAAAAAACTGTGCTCAGTAGAAGAAACATATCTCTGATAGTCAGAGGCTGAAAGGACTGCATTGGGAGACGGGGTGATGCCATTAAAAGTATTCAAGAAAAGGTTGGAATGGCCTTTGTTAGGAATGCTGTCGAAAGAATTCCAACATGAGAGAAACAGCCTGAGGTCTTGGAGTCAAACGTGCCTGGATCAAAACCTGAATTATTACCTGTGTGGCCTTGGTCTCCCTCAGGGGGTCAATACCTAATCCCTCTGAGCCTCAGTATCCTCATCTGTGCAATGGGATAATGCACAACCTCGGGGCTGAAGTAAGGATTCAATAAGACAAAACATCAGAAAACAACCGACACGTAATGAGTGCCCAGATGTCAATTCCTTTTCCATTAAGGGGGGTTGGGAGGGTGGGGAGCGTTAGATTAGAGGACCTCCAAGGTCTTTCTACCCAGAGTATGACTGGAACCCTTCCTAGTTGCTGGGAGGGAAGGCTACATCTGGGAGAGATGGGGAAGTCAGGATTGGGCGCATGAGGGCAGGAGGAAGAATGATGCTGATAGAATGAATGGTCTGGGGACATTCACAGAGGTCATCCCTGCAAGCTCCTTGTCCTCCCGCCCCCTCCTGACCTTCTAGAAAGAAAGAGAAAAGTGGGATTCTGGATCTCAATCCAGCCGCAGGGGTCTCAGTTCCCCATCTGCGCAGTGAAGGAGGAAACGGTGCGGGGACGAAGCAGGACCACACACCGAAGCCAGCCTCTGCCAAGGCCCGGCCCAGCCCTCCGCGAACCACAGCCGCCCGTCGTTCTCGGGTCTTTATTGTGCTAACACTGCCGCTCAGAGCTCGGATCTCACACGGAACAAGTCGGGCCAGAACCCACCCGCCCGGCCCGGGGACCTGGGCTTTGGCTGGGGACACCGGCCCTCGGCCCCGACCTCTCAGGCACGCCCCCTCCTCCTCCCGGAGCCCCGGGGCCAGGGATGTGAGAGCGTCCGGGGAGCCTTCCCCCCCAACCCCCCTCCCACTTTGGGGAGCAGGCTCTGCCCCCCAACTCATGTCCCGAGGAAAGTGCCTTCGGTCCGCAGCCCCCGGGCGGCCTGGGCGGGCGGGGTCCGCGCAGTCGGTGCGCGCCCCGAGCCGCGGGCGGGGAGCCGGGGCCCCTCTTCGGCGGAGCGCAGCCAGCGGGCGGGCGCTCACACCACCAGGCCGTCCTTGCCCAGCCGCGACCCCCGGGCGCCGTCCTCGGACTCGGCGCAGGTGACCTTGACGTAGACCGGGGCGGGGCCCGCCTCGCAGGCGGCGGTGCGGGACGCCAGGGCCACGTCCTCGGGGCCGCCGCAGGGCGGGGACGCGCACTCGCGGCGCGGGCAGCGGAGGGCGGTCTGCGGCGGGTACCCCAGCAGGTGGGAGACGCGGCTGCCGCGCCCGCGGGCCTTGCACCCGGGCGCCACGGCGTCCTCTCTGTGGAGACAAGGGGGGGCGGTGAGCGGGCTCCGAAGCCACGCGGGCTGGCCTGGCGGGGCCCGGGCCGGCGCACCTGGGCTCCCGCGCCCCGTCCCGGCAACTCCCGGCTATTATTAAAAAAAAATCAAAAACGATGAGAAGGCCTGGCGGCTCTCTTGGGACACGGGATTGCCTGTTGGAGGGAGGGCTCTCCTGGCAGAGTTATCCCCATGAAGTTGACCTGTAGAGCAGAATCTATGGGTCCAAACCTATGGCCCCGCACGGCTTGTCTAGGAGATAGAGTGCCCTATATTGAGTGGATTTGCAACTCACTAAAATGGAGCAATACAGTTGACACCACCCCTAGCTTGCCTCCTGGCCA